GCGCTTGGTGTTGACAAGAGGTGAACGAACACCTTCATTAAGCAAAATGTCAACAACTGATAACCCTCGTCCATCACCACCCTCGAGCTCTGACGTCACCAGGAGAGCCAATGTTTACATACCCGGTCACACAAAAAAAAAAACAACAACAAACAACAGTAAACAAATACACATTCCTATCCATCTCGTAGCAAACTCAGGTGACATGTTTACCAACGCTATAGTCACCCCCAGAGTGGAAGTTAGCGTGTGGAAGTTAGCATTTGGTCGGCGTTTGAGTTTAATTCTTGTTACCAGTGTGTCAACAGAGATATGTTATCCAAAATATACTCTCCTAACATTACACCATACTAGGTTTACAGGCTATTTTGTGTACACTTGTGATAACTGAAATAGTTTATAATTTTTTCCACATTTTTTTTTTTTTGTTAGAAGATAATTTTAAAAGGTGAAATAAAAATAGTATATATGAAAGTTGAAAGTAAATAAGGCACACTAGGGTTCGTTTGGCCTCTGACAAACATAAAAATTTTTAAAGAGTTATTACCTTAACTTTTCTCCTTTGCTATTCCGAAACTTTAAATATTCACAATAACAACAGAAGAAGAAGAAAGAAGAACAAGAACAAGAAGAACAAGAAGAACAAGAACAGAAGAAGAAGAAAGAAGAACAAGAACAAGAAGAACAAGAAGAACAAGAACATGAAGAACAAGAACATGAAGAACAAGAACATGAAGAACAACAACATGAAGAACAACAACATGAAGAACAAGAATATGAAGAGCAAGAGCATGAAGAACAAGAACATGAATAAAAATTGTCTATACGTAACTAATAATGAAAATAATATAAAGTAACAATAATAAGACCTTCACCATCTCACCCGACCAGCCGCGTCTTGGGACCTTCAACACCCCGATAAGAACGAAGGAAATAACATAATATATATCAACATATAAACATTCCCGTACAAAATATATATATAGAGTATAACCTTATCGAATGTGTATTAATAAAGTAAATATGGACAAATATATATGATACCCCTTAGAATGTTGAATGTGTTTTTTGTGGTTTTATCAAATAATATTACAGTGATGTTGATGTGGTCTTGGAGTAGTCTGAGGAATGTGTAGGTATGAGTGTTTACATTTTGGGGATCCCTCCTACTCCCCTCCTTCCTCCTCTTACATTCCTCCTAACCTTTCCTCTTCCTCCCCTCTTCCATCACAACTTATTTCCTGCCCATTCTACTCTTCCCTACCCTCTCCTCCACCCTCCTTCCCCTACACCCTCCTTCCCCTCCACCCCCTTCCCCTACACCCTCCTTCCCCTCCACCCCCTTCCCCCAACCCTCCTTCCCCTCCACCCCCTTCCCCTCACCCTCCAACCCAACCCTCCCTACTTGCCTACGCACATCACACCTGGGAAACAAAGTTATCAGGTAGGTGTCTAAACAACCTCCTTACGGCAGGAGTTACCTGAAGGAGTGGCAGCCAGGTGAGAGAATGAGACGCCCGGAATCCACAAGTGTTATTTTTAGCGTCTTAAAGATGGTGGTCAAGTGAGGAGGAGGAGGGAGGTAAGGGGGGGGGGGGTAACTTAAGTGCTTCTGTACTTCTTAATGTACACACTTGGTCATGGTTGTACATAAACAAACACGTACACACACACACACATGCGCGCACTAGTAATGGCTTTCTCTATCTCTCACTTTCTCTCTGCACCTTTCATCTCCCACTCCCCTTTCTATTAACTTCTTCCCTCTTCGTTTTCTCCTCCTCTCTCTTCTCCGTTTCCTCCCCATTTCTCTCCCCCTGCTCTTCTTCTTATTCCCTCACCCTTTCTCTCCTCCTGCCCATCTTATTTACTCCCCCTTTCTCTCTATCCTTTCTCTTATTCCCCTTTTCTCCCTCAGCTTCCTCTCTCTCCCTTTCTCCCCCTCGACCTCCATTTACTCTCTCTCCCCCTCCATGTTTCATAGCACCCCACTTCTCCCCATATCTCTCCATCCATCATTTCTCTCTCCCCCTCCCCCACTTGCCTCACCTGAGTGCACCTGCCACCACCTGGTCCACCACACCTGGCCACTCAGGTATCTAAATATTAGTGTTTGTGTACGACAGGTGAGTCTCCTAAGTCAGATACTTCAATAGGTGACCAGTTGGTGAATTTCTCTCTCTCTCTCTCTCTCTCTCTCTCTCTCTCTCTCTCTCTCTCTCTCTCTCTCTCTCTCTCTCTCAACCAAACATTAAACGAGACCAGATAATGAGGTCACTCTTTCATCCAAAACTTGCAGTGAAAAACTAGAAGTGCTACGTCATGGTTACTAAAGACGGAATACGATGACAAAAACCAATCACATTTGCGTCAGAAAAACGATGATGACGTCATATGTACCATCTAATTTAACGACGGTAACAACCACGTCAGAAAATTGATGACGTCACGAGCACCAGCTGATAAAACGACGGTATCTACAAAACCATCACAATTGCGTCAAGGAAATGATGACGTCAACGACACATGTTAGTTTAGTTAATTTTATACATAACTAGACGTCGCCTGTGTGCGACCATAAGAAGTCGAACACACGAAATAATCCCGAACGTCTTTAATCCCCGAGTTAGATTAATTAGACGAGTAATACCTACGATCAAGAAAATTCGTCCACTAATTCAGGTGTAACCAAGCTCACACGAAGGATAAGGCGACACACACACACACACACACACACACACACACACACACACACACACACACACACACACACACACACACACACACACACATCCTCTCGACTCAGGGATGACCAATAGAGGAAGGGAACTGAAAACATCACCACCCATCGTCAAGGAATTATTGAGCTGTCCTCCTCACCCCTCCCCTCTACCCTTCATCCCCCCTCACCCCTGACTCCTCTACCTTCCCCCTCACCACCTGGGGACTAAATACGTTCACATATAACACTAGCCAGAAGATAACATATTAAGGGGTCCATTTAAATAAAATCTCCAACACAACACTTTTGCCTCCAACACAACAATCACCTCCAGCACCAACACAACAAACACCTCCAACACCAACATAACATACCCCTCCCATACAACATACTCCTTTAACTATACACACTCAACACAAGCTTCATTACCTCAACACATTTACCTCCAACACAACATACACCTCCAACAACAAAACACCTCCAACACAACAAACACCTCCAACACAACGCCACCTCAACTTTGACCTCCCCAACACAACAAACACCTCCAACACAACATACACCTCCAACACAACAGCACACCTCCAACACAACATACACCTCCAACACAACATACACCTCCAACACAACATACACCTCCAACACAACATACACCTCCAACATCAACACCTTCTACCATCACGGGACTGTGTGCGGAGTACCAACACTAACATAACTAAAGCCAGGTTTCAAAAGGTTATTATGTTGGATTGATTTGCACTTCCAAAACAATTTAGTCGCAATGAATAAATTTTGAAATCCACCCTCCCGCCTTTTCTATCCCGGGTTCCATGCATCATATATTTTTGAGAGAGAGATTTTTTTTTTGTAGTTTTGTAGTTTTGTAGTTTTGTAGTTTTAACCTTTGTATAAATATTATTTTTTCATCTCGGATAATCAACATCAAAAGGTTAGGTCAATGGGAATTTATTGTGAGGGCCGTAACATTGCCACCGTCACACTATGAGTTCCCGTAACCGCTGAGTGAGTCCCCCCCCCCCTACCCCTCACAAACCTCCTGCTCCCCCCCCCCTCCAACAGAGAGCCAAGTGTAGCGAAACTCAGTATACGGATTTAAAAGCAATTTCAATTAATTCTGAGAGCGGAAGGATTTAGTATGAGGCAGTTTGATTGGTTCCTAAGCCTAAAGTCTATTTTCACCGTTACTTGTGCGTTTTGTTTTTTTACTCTAGAGGGGAAACTATTGTGAGTGTGTTGACAAATTCAGTAGTGGAGTGAAGTGAACCCTGACAGGACCACCAGCCACATCCCCGCACAGTTATCACAACGGTACAACAGATAACAGGTGACTACCGTTTATTAAAAAAAAAAAAAAAGACTCAATCCCATTCAAGGTAAATTTACCAGGAACTTTGATCAACGGAACGAAAATATTTGAAACGTCATCAAAATGAAATATATCTGGACCGGTGTGTAGAGGCGGCGTGTCGTATATGACGGAGAACCATTTTATTTCGATATCCTAAACACTGATGATATTTCACATAAAAAAAAAATGCCGCATCAAATATCATTGTTTCTTTTTTGGTCCGATAATAAACATTCACTTTTACAATGCACCATAACACAGGGATTCCATAAAACATTATACACTATAAAAAATGTGGTATCGCTTCTCCTCCCCCCACCCACTCCCCTCGTGTTGGGTGTGGCGAGGGTGTAGCGAGGGTGTAGTTAAAGTATACTTCTATTGGACATCTATACAAACACCATTTCACCACAACCAATAAGGCCAACCAGCATAATACACCAACCAAGATTCACACCACCACACCACCACACAACCATTCCCTAATCAACTAATCAATCATACACAACAAATCCTCTTCCTTTACCTGTGTCTTTCAATCAATTCTTCATCAATTCTTAGTTTTGTCAATCATTCTACACCAACACTCCCTTCATCTACTCAATCATGACTTCGCCTTCATTCATCAGTCCTGCTATCACCTGTAAGTTCTCATCAATTCTCCCCTTACCTGTCCATCACAACCCATCAATTCTGCCATCACCCACACCTGTTATCCTCCACCCACACCTGTTATCCTCCACCCTCACCTGTTATCCTCCACCCACACCTGTTACCCTCTACCCACACCTGTTATCCTCTACCCACACCTGTTATCCTCCACTCACACCTGTTATCCTCCACCCACACCTGTTATCCTCCACCCACACCTGTTATCCTCCACCCACACCTGTTATCCTCCACCCTCACCTGTTGTTCTTCTCAAGGCTCTTCAGGAAGCCGAGAGCATCCGTAGCAGACTCCACTCGCCTCACCACACGGATCTGGAAGGACGCCCTCGCTGGCCTAATAGACTGGAAGATCTCCTGAAGCCGCAGTAGACCTGAAGGAGGAGAGAGAGAGAGAGACGACGTTACGAGGGACGTTAAGAGGGGCGTGACGTTAAAAGGGGCGTTAAGAGGGGCGTGACATTAAAAGGGAACGTTAAGAGGGGCGTGACGTTAAGAGGGGCGTGTCATAGGAGGTCGACGTTAAGAGTGGCACATTATAATTAGGGAATATAATATGTTATGGACACACATTTTGTGAGGGAACGATGACAAGGGAGGGGGAGGAAGAGGAGGAAGGAAGGAAAAGGAGGAGGAGGATGAAGGGGAGGAAGAAGGAACAGGAGGAGGAGGAGGAGGAAGAAGAGGAATAGGAGGAAGAGGAGAAGACAATGTATAGCACCACCATTACCACTACTACCAACACTCGTTCATAACCACCACCCCCACAACCATTCACCCACAACTATCACCCCCACAACCATTCATCCACAACCATCACCCCCACAACCATTCATCCACAACCATCACCACCACAACCAGTTCCATCCACAACCCATCACCCCCACAACCATTTCACCCCATCCATTCATCACCTATCACCACCACAACCATTTCATCCACAACCATCACCCCCACAACCATTCATCCACAACCATCACCACCACAACCATTCATCCACAACCATCACCACCACAACCATTCATCCACAACCATCACCCCCACAACCATTCATCCACAACTATCACCACCGCAACCATTCATCCACAACCACCACAACCATTCATCCACAACCACTGCAATCAATCATCCACAATCGGGACCACCACTACTACTACTACTACCAACATTTGTCCACAAGCACAACCACCAGTACCACCACTATATTACCACCACATTACCAACAACACCTTTCCACAACCACTACAACCATAACCACCAGTACTATCACCATCCATCCATCACCAACACCCTTCCAAGACAACCACTACCACCATTTCATAACCACTACCACCATCCATCCACCACGGGCACAATTTTTTATACATTAACATAATAATTCCATACACTCCCGGTACTTGATATGCTAAGTTAATAACACAGGTGACATCATTGAGCTTGACGTGAATTAAAAAAAAAAAAAGGGAGTCACGAATGTCAGTCATAACCACTCTGTTCAAACACACTGACCTCAAATTACATAAAGCGGTGAGGTCAGGTCACAGGTAGAGGTGACCCCGTCTGACTAGTGGTAAGGACTTGGTTAGGTTAGGTAAACAGGTAAACAATGGTGTATATTGTTTATCAGTGCGTCAAACAGCAGTAAAGGCATAAATATTAATTACAAGAAAAATCAACAATAAAATAATAAAATACCAAGAGAAAAACACAAAACAAAACAAAATAAAACGAAACAAAGAAAAAATAACCAACTATAAAAAAAACCCGAAAAAGACTAAAAAATAACAAAGGATTTAATAAAAGTAAGAATGACACACACACACACACACACACACACACACACACACACACACACACACACACACACGCACACACACACACACACACACGCACACACACACACATCAGTGATAGCAAGAGAAAACACGCATTTTCCATTCTAGGCTGACTGAAGCACTCAACAGGTGGGCAGTTGATGTAACAATAGAGACTGTGGGTGGACACGGCGGCCTGCCCACTCACCCGGCACTACCGCCTCCCCTCCGGATTACTAACGACCTGGTGGAGGTGAGTGGGGGAGGAGGGAGTGATGGAAGAGGGAGAGGTGGGGGTGGGTGGGGGAGGTGTAGTGGTGGAGGAAGAGAGAGGTGTAGGGGAGTTGTTGTTGTTTTTAACGGGCATTAGACCACCCGGGCACAGGTCACTGACCCACGGGGCCTGGGGGCGAAAATGTAAGAATAATAATAATAATCTATCTATATAAAAGAAAGAAATCTCTCTGTTTGTGTGTCCGCACGAGAATCTCGGAAACTACTTTACCGATCTGTAGTGATGATGGATGGTGTTATATGTAGTGATGATGGATGATGTTAAATGTAGTGATGATGGATGGTGTTATATGTAGTGATGATGGATGATGTTAAATGTAGTGATGATGGGTGGTGTTACATGTAGTGATGATGGGTGGTGTTATATTGATGATGGATGGTGTTATATGTAGTGATGATGGATGATGTTAAATGTAGTGATGATGGATGGTGTTATATGTAGTGATGATGGATGATGTTAAATGTAGTGATGATGGGTGGTGTTACATGTAGTGATAATAGATAGATGGTTAAAGTGAGCTTTGCCATGACCATCTACAAAAGCCAGGGACAGTCCCTAAAGATGGTTGGCCTAAACCTGGTGTTTCCTTGCTTCTCTCATGGACAGTTCTGTGTTGGATGATCCAGAGTGGGAACTGGCAAAAATCTGTACATACTTGCTGCTAATGGCAAAACCAAAAATGTGGTCTACCTTAATGCACTACAGTAAGACAATGTGGAGCCTCCCGGAGGATGGCGTCCTACCGTGGCCTAGCGAAAGAGGCGTTTCTGCTAGTAATAATAATAAAGACAAAAATTTAAAAAATAAATCAAGAGTGAGAAACGACATACAGTATGTCTGTTGTGTTGTCAATATCAAGAGAAACAATTGAGACCCTGCAATTGTGTGTAAATGAGGCAGAAAGTCAGGTCAACAATCTGGGACTTGGTCACATATGGCAGCAGGGTCTACCATTAGACAACACATTATGCTTCCAATATCTTCCCAGGCGGTAGTACCTTCCTGTTTGGTGGTGGGGGAGGGAGAGGAGGGAGTTGTTGGGGTGGAGGTGGATGGGGAGCAGAGAGTGGGGAGAGGAAGAAGGGAGCAGAGAGTGGGGAGAGGAGGAAGGAGTAGAAGAGGAGGAAAGAGTAGAGACGAGAGAGTATGAAGCAAGGAAGGAGTAGGAGATAGGAAGAAGGAATATGGGGAGTCAAAGAGTTAAAAACTAATGTGGATTGGGTTTTGTGTATGTGTAAATAGATAAGATGGTTATTTATTCAGCAATGACATACATACATACATACATACATACATACATACATACATACATACATACATACATACATATTCAATAAAATCGTCATACACTTTCACAATGGTTCTGGAGATAGATAGATAGATAGATAGATAGATAGATAGATAGATAGATAGATAGATAGATACTTGGTAAAATTATCATACAAGTTCATAATAATTCACTATGTGTATAAACTCTACAGACAGATGGACAAATAGTCAAGTCAAATAGTTCTATCCAAATCGCCATACAAGTTAAACTAGCTCACCATCTATATAAACAATAGTAAGGGTATGTAAACAATGATAAACAGTAAGTATATGTGAGTAAACAAGTCATTTTAACTCAAGATAAAGGTTATGTAATCAATGGTAAACAAAATGTAAAATTTAACTAAATAAATCACAAGAGAGATGTTAAGAGTTTATTTCCATTGTGTTCCTTTGTCCTGAGTAAAAGCATCAGTTTATTGTGTGTGTGTGTGTGTGTGTGTGTGTGTGTGTGTGTGTGTGTGTGTGTGTGTGTGTGTGTGTGTGTGTGTGTGTGTGTGTGTAAATCACCGACCTCAATCGTAAATGTGTTTGTCGCGGTACCAATCATGTGTTAAGTGTGTTTGATGGTGAATAAATCAATGCCTTTTAATTGTGACCTCAAACTAGTTGGTGGGGGTGACCTGAATTCGTTCGTGTTGCTGTGTTCGTGTCCGTCGTGTCCGTGATCTGTCCGTCCTGGTCGTGGTCTGTCCGTATTTACCGCAGTCTGTCCGTATTTACCGCAGTCTGTCCCTCCCCCACAAGCTTGACCCGATTAAAAACTGGAGAATTGGCGGCATACATTCTTTGACTACACTCCTCTCACTGCTTACCACACCTGTACCACACAACCATCACGCAGACCTCAGTGTATAACCAAGCAACACCTCATCATAACTACAACAACTCTCACAACAGCGAACAACAACAATAACAACAACAGCAACAACAACAATCACACAACCAATCACTCCAACAACAACAACAACAACTACAACAACAACAACAATGGGAATACTGAGAGAGAGACATACAAACCAATCAAAAGTCACAACAATACTACATATAATCACTAACACGCAGCCACACTCCTAATACTTACCCTCATCCTTATCCTAATCCTTACAGAACAAAAATAACACAATTCTTCAAACACACACACACACACACACACACACACACACACACACACACACACACAGAGCTCTAATCTTTACAGCGCTGACCGACACAATCCTAGTCATTACATTACGCAACAACACAATTCCAATTACAGTTATGGCAAGGTAAATCCTGCTTATATCGGCTGCAGGTCAAATGGGCCCCGTTCTAATAGGCCCCAGTCCCAATGGATCCTAACTTGACTTTGCTTAACCGATATATTAGAACTATTAAAACTAGATTTTATTTGGACTGGGGGTTATTAGAACTGGGGTCTATTAAGAACTGGGGTCTATTAGAACTGGGGTCTATTAGAACTGGGGTCTATTAGAACTGGGGTCTATTAAGAACTGGGGTCTATTAGAACTGGGGTCTATTAAGAACTGGGGTCTACTAGGAAGTCTATCAGAACTGGGCCTAATCGGACTGAAGGCCTAATACAAGTGGAGGCCTATTAGAATTGAAGCCTAATTTGCTAATCACCATGCACAACAGTAGTCGACCAATCACCGTGCACAACAGCAGTCGACCAATCACCATGCTCAGTAGTCGACCAATCACCGTGCACAAGAGTAGTCGACCAATCACAGTACTGTAGTAGTCAGGCAAATCACCGTCTGCACAACAGTAGTCGACCAATCACCGTGCACAAAGAGTAGTCGACCAATCACAGTGCACAACAGTAGTCGACCAATCACCATGCACAACAGTAGTCGACCAATCACCATGCACAACAGTAGTCGACCAATCACAGTGCACAACAGTAGTCGACTAATCCCCATGCACAACAGTA